AGATGTCGCTTTGGTAACCGCAACACTTAACGCAAAAAAATCCGTTTAATTTTTTTTTTTTTTTTTTTTTTTTTTTTAGCTTTATCTTTATTTATTGAATCTTCTCTTGAAGAGACTTACAATAAGAATTCAGATCTTAACCTATACTATGTATTATTAATGTATATTATTTATTTGTTATATTATGATGATTATTAATTGGTCAACAGCCCTCAATTGGGCAGGAGTGGGCGGTCGTTGCGCTGTAGACGAGAGTGGCTCCTGAGCCGCCTGAGCTGCCTGGCTAGTTGGTTTGGATGTATTGATAATCTATTTTCGTATTTCAAAACTTTACTATCAATTTCTTCTTTGACGGGTTTTATATCCAGGTCCCTATGGATGTTTGCGTTGCGAATATACCAGGGGGCCCCCGTTATTGTTCGCAGTATCTTCGACTGCACACGTTGGATGATTTCTATGTTGCTGCTGCTTGCGTTCCCCCAAAGTTCAGACCCGTACGTCCAGGTTGGCTTTAGACATGAGTTATATAGTAGAACTTTGTATTCCAGCGGAAGAGGTGAGCGAGGGTTGATGAGCCAGTGGAAACTATTGGCCTTGAGTTTTAGGGAGGTCTTCTTCGCTTCAATGTGCCTTCTCCAGGTAAGCCGCCTGTCTAAGTGGATGCCCAGGTAGGTGACTTCGTTGACTTGGGGGATTTGTTTGTTGTTTAGGGACAGTGGTGGGCAGGTTTCCCGATTAAGTGTAAACGTAATGTGCTTACACTTTTGATCGTTGACTTGTATGCGCCAATCTGCAAACCATTTTTCCACGTCGATCAGATGGTTTTTTAAGTGAGCTGTTGCTGTTTTTGGATATTTTGAGCGACTGATTATAGCTGTGTCATCAGCAAAGGTGGATAGAATTGTTTGACTGCTTGTAGGAATATCAGCCGTGTACAGGACATACAAGATCGGTCCGAGCACACTTCCTTGGGGTACTCCAGCCTTGATTTTGTGGTTTTCAGAGAAGAAATTTTTGCATCTTACAGTAAAAACTCTATCTTTGAGGTAAGATTCAAGCAACTTATGGGTGTTTTGTGGCAAAACGGTCTTGATTTTGTAAACTAGACCTTCAATCCAAACGCGATCGAAGGCTTGAGACACGTCCAGGAATATGGCACTGCAGTATTCCCTGTATTCAAAAGCTGTGCGTATTTCAGCTGTTATGCGATTTACCTGTTCGATAGTTCCGTGCTTTTCCCTAAAGCCGAACTGATGCAGGGGAATCGCTCTGTTGTTTTGGAGGTGTGTTTTTAGGTGGCATGAAATCAGCTTTTCAAATAGCTTTGATAAGCACGGAAGGAGGCTAATGGGCCTGTATGACGAAGGTTGGGATTTGTCCTTGCCTGGTTTTGGTATCATTGTGATAACGGACTTTTTCCATTGCAGAGGAAAATAGCCCCATTTGAGAATTGAGTTGAATATGGTGGTGATGAATTTAACTGCACATGCTGGCAGTTCAATTATCATTTTAGGCGAAATTAAATCATGGCCGGGGGCTTTTTTTGGATTCATCTGTTCTACAATGGCTTTTGTGACTGTACTTGTTTCAAGAATGATTGTGGAGGAAGGCTCTGCTGGTGGGATGTTTGGCAGAGTAAATTGATTCGCCGGCGGATGAGGTTGGAAGACGTTTTGTAAGTGAGAGGCGAAGATGTTGGCCTTTTCCTCGTCACTACGCGCCCATACACCTGAGGGTGATCGAATTGGAAAATCGGGCTCTATAGGTGGTTGAATGTTTGGGTGCGCTCTCCAGAGTGGAAATTTGTTGCTAGTGGGTGAGAGCTTTGCTATATACGCGCGTTGAGCCTGATTCTTCTCAGTTATTAAGGCTTTAGATAGCTTCCGACAGGCTTCTTTAAAACTTTGTTTAGTGGCTGGGGATCGGTGTGTCTGCCAGTTTCGGCGAAGTCTACGCTTTTCTTGAAGGAGCGATTGGATCTGCATGTTTGTACGCATAGGATTTGGGAGGGATGTAGCTAAAGGGTCAGGTGTAGAGTGTTTGGCAGCTGAGGACATTACATCTGCTATGTGCTTAAGTGAGTTTTCAATGTCAGCTTCACACGAGATATTGGGTTCGATTTCAATGTGAGAGCTGATATATTTTTTATACTTTAGCCAGTTTGTTGTATTGGAAGTCAGAAATTGTGGTTGCTTTACAAGCTGTGGGTGTTCAAATAGACAGAGAAGAACAGGCGAATGGTCAGATGACAGTTCAGCCAGTGTTTCAACGCGTACCAGCCTGGGCGGCACTCTCCTAGTTATGGCAAAATCGATAATGTCTGGTTGTTTGTTCGGATCTGCTGGCCAGTATGTGGGCCTACCCGGTGAAACAAAGTCTAGCTTATTACTAGGTTTGATGATAGCATTGTATAGTTGTCGTCCTTTGGGGTTAATAAGACGAGAGCCCCAGTAGTGGTGTTTTGCATTATAGTCACCGGCAGCTACAAAGCAGTTACCTAGTGAGTTGTAGAAGCCCAAAAATTCATTTTCTGGAATATTGAATCGTGGGGGACAATACACAGCTGATAGTGTGAGTGGGCCGCTGGTTATATTGATACGTATGGATGTGGCCTGCAAGTAGTTAGTAGCGAATGCGTCCTGAGGATGATGCTTTATGCGCTGTTTGACGAGAATGCCGGTGCCTCCATGCGCTTTGCCATCTGGATGGTTGGTCGCGTGAAATACATAGCCGGTGAGATAAAAATAGTTTTTATTGGTTAGGTGTGTTTCCGAGAGAAGCATGATATCGATATCATGGTTGTTTAGGAACTGTAGGAGTTCGTATTTGTGTTGGGAAACGCCGTTGGCGTTCCAGAAGCATATTTTTAAGGGATTCATTTAGATTGTTTAATCAAAAGCTCCAAAAGAAGATTTTGGTTTCGCGTTAGGTCTTGCAGGGTACTTTGTATCGATAGCATAATTTTTGTAAGCGTAGCTAGTGTGTGTTCAAGTCCGCTATGTGCTGGTGGGGGGGAAGCTGGTTTTGCTGAGTAGTGGGTTGAGTTGTTCGCTGGGTATTTTGCTCAGGCAGCGAGTCATCTTTTCGATTTGGTATAGGCTGGAGAGAATGCACAACTTCAGGGTGAGAAAGACTTACTGGCACTGGCGATGCTCCAGAGTATCGAAGAGCTCTGGCAAAGGAGACCCCGGGTGTTGTTACTGATGGCGTGAAGTAGTTTGGTTGGACAACATGTTGAGCGGTAGTCGGTTTGCTGCGCCTCTGAGTCAGACGAGTCTTGAGTTCTTTATAGATAGGGCAGCCCCTATAGTTGGCAGTGTGGTTTCCACCACAGTTACTACATTTCCTCGTTGCAGGATCTTCTTTGTTTCTCAGACATGCATCTATGCAGTGCAGATCACCACAGGCGACACAGACTGATCGCAAGGTGCAGTAGCTCCTTGTGTGCCCAAACTCCTGACAGTTAGTACATTGTACCGGGCCGTTTCGCTTGTGTGGTTCCTCTACGGTAATTCTTCGGTGAAGGAGATATTGTAACTTGTAAATAGGGTGGACTGCATTTTTCTTAAGAGGTGCAGTCTCTGGCGCCAGTTCAATCTTAAATAGCGGCTGAGGGATTTTTGCCCTGTTGATTATATTGGTTACATGTTTAACGTCAAAACCTTGCTCTTTTAGTCCCTCGGCTATGTCAGCTACTGGGACGGTTGATTCTATTCCTTTTACTACAACTTGTAGCCCTTTGCTACTTTTGAGCTGGTAGGTGTAGTAATTTACCGGCACATGGTCGAGGAAATTCGTCACAGTGCGGTAGTTGCTTTCATTTTTTATTTGGAGTTTGGTTTCTGATATATTACCTCTTTTTAGGTTGGTAATGTAAAAGTTATTTGGCCCGATTTTTTGTTTAAGATTGTTAATAAGCTCCGAGCAATTGTGTTCCCTAATGTAGATAGGGGGTGGCTTTACATCTTTGGTGGGTTGAGGCGGTTGACCCTCATCTTCTCCAAGGTCACCAAGTATAGAAAATCTATTTTCAGAAGTTGCCTTGTTGTTGTTGCCTGAGGTTTTCGATACTTTCGGCAGGTTTGCATTAGTTTTTTGTGGGCTAAGCTTTCTTTTTATTTGTACATACCGATCGATCCCGGTCTGTACAAGCGTAGTTTGTGGGAGAGAGGCAGCAGAGACACATTTTAATTGCGATGACAATATCGGCCACAAATTTGCCACCGACGTTGAAGTTGTTGTTGTCGTCGTCGAAACAACAGTTGTAATAGAGGGCACCGTGCTGGTCAGCGCAAGAGCTGACGTAGTCAGTGCAATGAGAGGTGAGAGTGGAGATGGGCATTGGGAGCTCCACGACTGGGCCATGGCAGCGCTGCTTGAGCTTAGGAGTGCAGGTGACAGTGAGCGCGCTCTCTCGGGAGCAGTCAATGACATTGCTTTTGTTGTTGCGTCTTCGTTACTTACTGTCTCCGAAACAATTGCTACATAAGCATTATTCCGGGCAGAAGACAGTCGGCGTTCGTCTTGCTTTTGTTGTTGTTGCATTCGACTTTGACTCGTGGCTTTACTAGTTGCACTTATTATTGATTTGCCCGCAGGCATTGTATTTTGTTTGAGATTAGTTGTTTTCTTCACTTTGATCTGTTAGAAAACTAGGTAATGAAGCTAATATGATTTGGCATTGCTGCCAGCGTCTTTTCGCTACTATTTCAGTTTTTATTTCACTTAAATATCGAGCTAATTGACTCGCTTGGCGGAGCGATCAAGAAACACGTCTGCACGGGGCAAAAGTAGAACTTTCCGTTTAATTTAAATGGCGAACAAGGTAACTCCGCTAATTACAACGCTATCAGCATTATCAACGATAATTAATAAGCGTTTCTGAACAGTTGGAGCAGGTGTGCATATCGAGATGGGGGTTTTAGAGACCGTAGCGCAACCAACTTTAGTAATAAATTTCATAATAGACCCACTAAGATAGATATGTTTTTCTTTTGCAGCTACAACATGCGCTTTGAGCCGCTGGGCCAGAAGATGTTCACCCGCCGTAATTGGCTGCTGCGCTGCAGTATCCTGATCAACGTGGCGGTGATCTTGTACATCGGCAGCCAGCTGATGATCGGCGGAGGTAACAGCTTCACGAACGGAGGCAGCTTCCTGCTGCAGGACCAGCAGCCCGTGTCGATCCTGCAGGTGAACTCGGCCTCCTCGGCGGCCCAGGTGCAGCAGCAGCCTCCCACACCCAAGAACCAGAATCAGAACCCAAACCAGAACCAGAATCAAAATCAGAATGTAAGAGCAACTAGAGCACTCATGCAGATCCCCTTCTCACCACCTCTCAATCTTCCCTTCAGCAGGCGGCGGAGATCTTCGAGTCCGAGGAGAAGCTGCTGGTCAACTCCAACGCGGACTCCCCAGCAGCAGGTGCGGCGGTTCAGGCTGCGGATAGTGCGGCGGGTGCTCCGCAGGCGGCGAGTGACGGCGATCCCTCGCAGGTGATCGGGAACATTGGGCAGGCAGGGTCCGGAGGAAACGCCGAGGCGAACAACACCCAACCAGACGGCGGCTACATCGTCACCGGGGACGAGAAGGAGCTGGAGGAGCGGGTACGCTCGCTGATCAATTGCCTGGACCACGACTACCACCAACAAACGCTGCAGCGGGGCGACTTTTGGGTGCTGCAGAACTACGTGCGCGCGGAGCACGGGGAGATCAAGTGCCACGAGTCGATCACGTACACGACACACGCAGACTACACCTTCCTGGACAACCTGGTGCCACTGCTGGAGCGCTGGAACGCGCCCGTGAGCATAGCCATGCACGCCCCCGGCACGGACTTCCAGCCCACGCTCGACTCGATCCGCTACCTGCGCGACTGCCTGCCCGGCAGCCACCTGGTGCGCGCCTACACCACCTTCCACGTCTACTTCGGCACCAAGCACATCCCCAAGGCGGTGCCCAAGCCGCACGAGGTCCTCAAGACGGGCTACAACTGCACGCTACCGCCGCCCTACTTCAACGTCAGCTCGGGCCACCTGTACAAGGCGCAGAAGAAGCTCCTCTACCCTGTCAACGTGGGCCGCAACATCGCCCGCGACTCGGCTCTCACCCACTTCATCCTGGCCTCCGACATCGAGCTGTATCCTAATCCGGGCTTGGTCAAGAAGTTCCTTGAGATGATTGCCCGCAACGAGCAGTACCTGCGACGCAAGGCGCCAAGGTGGGTGGATTTAGCTGTGTCTGTGTCACCCCTATTTATATTAAACCGGTTCTCTATTAAAGGGTATTCCCACTGGCCATCTTCGAGGTGGAGGAGAACTCCCCGGTCCCGCACGACAAGACGGAGCTACAGGAGTTCTTGCGCACAGGCAAAGCTATTCCCTTCCACAAGCGGGTGTGCGCCAGCTGCCACGGAGTGCCCAAGTCCAAGGAGTGGATGTCGGCCAACGAGACGGACGAGCTCAGTGTGTTCCACATAGGTACGTACTTAGTGCTTCCCTTGAGACCCCTTGAGAGTACCATTATATGTCCGATCCACAGGAAAGCGAACTGGTTACTACGTGCACTGGGAGCCAATCTACATTGGAACCCACGCGGATCCCCATTACGATGAGCGGCTAAGCTGGGAGGGAAAGAGCGACAAGATGCCCCAGGTGAGTCCAACTCTATTTAGAAGATCAGTTCGGTTCAGTATTAACACAATTTTCCAGGGTTATGCGCTGTGCGTGCTGGACTACGAGTTCCACATCCTGGACAACGCGTTCCTGGTGCACAAGCCGGGCATCAAAGTGCTGAAGAAGGACAACCGGAGGGCCATGCTGTCTGGGAAGACGAACCAGCTGATACGGAAGATCATCTACCCAGAACTGAAGATCATGTACGGCATGCGCAAGGGATGCGCGATATAGTAACTAGTTCTGAAACCGAGCTGAGCTCAGTCCCGACTGAAGGGGAAGGAGGCGAAGGCGAAAAGACTACAACCCACTTCACTACTGCTATTTGCAATTCTATAGATCGCTAGCGATTCAAATTCGTCGGCAGCGTTGGATCCGCACTGCAAGTGTGTGTTTCCTAGCTGGAGACTTAGCCCTAGGACTAATAGGTATTACGTAGTTAGCTTTAGCTTAGGTCAGTCGTGTAACGTCATTGGGTTTTTCCTATGTTGGGTTATCTAATTCTACTCCTCAGAGCCTTGAAAGCGTGGCTTTAACGTAGTTTCTGATTAGCTTTTGGTTCCTCGCTGCATTTCATTCTCCAGCAGACTTCTAAGCTGAAAGTATCCTTTTGTAAAAGTAAGGCATCGGCGCCCAGAGCTAATGTATACTTCCACGAACCTTATGTAAATAGCAACACACTTGGGCCACTTATCGGACCTTCCTCTCTCTCTCTGGAACACAAACTAGAGACTTGAGATCTAGGGGTTTTTACTCATAGGCAGTCATTATCCGTTAATTTGAACATAGGCCGTTAACTTAAGTTTATCGTTATTTAGCTGAATTTTTCACACGGATCCATTTACGAGTTAGAGCTAGTTTTCTGTTTATGGATTTTCCTCTTTCAATACTCAACAGATAAAGTGAAAGCAACATTATTTTTGAATACAAGGGCCAGATCCTAACCGACATCAGAAAGAACAGCAGTCTTACCATTTTGTGTCTCTGTATTTGCGTAATAAGGGTATAGGCTTAAAAGTGTTTTCTTGGCAATGTAGACTTACTGCAAGACCAAATCGTAGATTAGACCGTTAACGGGCCAAACAATTCCAACGTTAATTATTTGACTTGAATAGCAGAGTAGGAATCATTGAATTGGACGTATTAATAGACTTCGAGAGGTAAATCGTAATAGTATAATGATAAAGTTAAAAGGCTAAAGACAAGTTTCAACAAAACACAATTACTATTAAAATTTATACAGAAACACACACATTGAGAATTGATTTGTTGACTTACCGCACTGAAAGGTAGGCAGGCAATTATTGCAATTGAAACCACATTTCAATAGGCATAAATGCGAACCGTGATATTTGTACTAGTAAAGCGATATGGAGATGTTAAAACTAATTGATAAGAAACGAGAGGGAGATCACAAACAGAGATCACAAGCCCCCGCATTAAACTTAACCTAACTTTAGTTTTGTATATGTTTTTTATTAGTGTTGAACATTAAGTCAAACTTGTGCACATATAAATGTTAAAAACAATATTGTGAACTCGAATCCGCGATTCGATTCCAAGAGAAATGCTGAAGGTTTTTGTTGCGTAGGCCTTATCGAAATAAATATAAATAATAGAACTAAGCTGTCGATTTTAGAGAGTTTAGAGTATATTAGATCTTACTGAAATACAGAAAGTTTTACGTATGTTGTTGGAAATTTAATAAAAGTACGTTTTGAGAGTGACTTGGGAACAACATACACAATTGATGTTTGTATTTATTTGACTTTAGTACTTAAGCAACGATTTAGCTGATACCGATTAGCAGATCCAGTCTTAAATTTATTCGCTCAAACAGATTGGTTCCATTATATATTTTCCATTAATAAGACTAAAATATCAGTAAACCTAATGAAAGTTGTTAAAAGTAGCTTAGAGCAGAAAAAATACAATTTGAATTAAAGAATATATTTGTATGATGTAATGTAAAGTGTAAAAGTGCCTTAGACAAATCGAAGAATATGAAATATTTATAAAAACCATTATCAATGCAGCTGAGTACTTCCTGAGTTTACTTTAATTTTCCCATCGTTTTGTGTTCAGAACGGCGAAAAAACGCATACAGCACATTTGTGTATTTATACAAATAAAAACTTTGGCAAACTATGGCCGTCATATGTAAAACGCTAAATTGAAATGGATTATTTTTTCTAAAATCGAATAAGTCTTCTTAATGATTCACAGCCTGCCAATTATTTAAAACACGGTATTAAATAAAAACTACATTCATTTTGGTTGTCTTATGGTTTAACTGCAATCATTGCAAATTTAATTTGACCAGAAGTCATTTGTCGCAAAATTAAACTGAAATCACACTTCAAGAACGCCTCATACTTCTAAATAAAACTTTTGTAAGAGTTAAGTGCAATTCTGCTGAGCATGGACTTCTAGCTAAAATATTAAGAAAAGCTACACAAAACCAGATTAAAACTGAGAAAATAAAACAAAGAAAAAATAAAAAACAATTCAAAAAGTCTGAAAAGTGTATTCATCTCCCTTAGTCACAAAGTTATGGTTTCTATGGCATTTGTAGTCTGGATCAGTTCTGAATTTTGCTGATTTTTGGTTTGCCCGAAACAAGTTTTTCTGTCTCATGACATTTGCTGCATATTTCGTCACTACTTAATTTAAGCTTCGATTCTTGAAAAATCTCCATCTTAACTAAAGGCCTAACGCCAAGATCATTGTCAGATTGTCGTGATTGGCACGGCCTCTTGGGCGCAGTCGACCTTGACTTTAAGTTGGATTTACTGGTTTCTTTTGAGTTTTGGCGGTTCTACGAAAACAAACAAATCAAACATAAATTAACTCCGAATTCGTTGACTAGTATTTAAAACAGTTGCTATCTGAAATTTGAGCAGAGCTTAGCAAGATGACGAACAACCGACTCAACTCAAGCGAAAGGAAGCTTTTTCTTTCGAAATTCGTGCGATCTGATGTCTTTTCGTTTATTCGTTATTTATTGACATGTTTGTTTTTATTGCACTGAGGCCGAAGCGGGCCCGAATCGTCAACAGGTAGAGGAAGATCAGCAAGCTCCGGCGATCATCATCACGGGAGCTTCAGGCCAGCTTCGTATGAGCCGTCACTCGCCGTGCTACCAGTTAATATCTGCGTTGCGTTTCTAGCGCAAAACAGTCGAAATTGTCAGCTCGTTGGCTGAGCATCGCAGCAGCTCTTCTTAAGTTCCACGTTTAGTGCCAAGTCCCGAGGATTAAATACAAGTGTTAACATGGCTAAGATATTAATCAGTGCTCTATTGTGCGTAGCCTTGTTTGGCTCCATGGGTTAGTACTCTATACGTTTAATCGGTTTTACTGTCAACACGATTGGTTTCGATAGCCAACTTTGTATATTCAAATTGTGTGTGGTTACTCTAAGGCAACCAACAGAGAAATCCAGATGTTGACATTTCATTAGTATCGAATTACCTCATTTCATCTTTAGTAATTAAGCCGTGGTGTAATGTCACGAGAATATCTTGAATTCGGAATAATATGTTGCAGAGTAATAGAATGCGTGATGTTATGGCGAATACAGACTATTCAAATTATTTAGGTTGCATTTAGTCGTTTCCTATTAGACTATGGCGACCCCAATACCTTTTTACACACCTTGCAATTGCTCACTCGCCCGAACAACAAAATTTGCAATTTTCTGACTGAGGTGATGCTGCGATTTACCTCGCATTGAAGTTATCCGGCACACATTTTTTCTACAATTTCCCAAATCAACGCGGAAGAGAAAGATAAATTTATGCAAGTAATTATTGCAATCAAAAAGTTGAGTCGACAAAGTACATAATTCCAATATTCGAATTTACACCGAAATTTCATTAATATTTCAAGGTTGGCAGGTAGCGTTTTCAAAAATTTAATTCACACGCTGGGGCAGGCAGAAAAAAGCAACTATTGCATAACCTTTGGCTGGCGCAGTGGTCCATTGTGTGATCTCGTCGACGCCACCAAACGAGTTTGTCTCGGATAGCGGTCAGACTTGTTGAGGGAAGATGGAACGACAGATCGATCTCCGAGTAATGCGTGCGCAGCCGGTTGCTGTGACCTTTAAGCGTCTTTGCACCTCGCGGCGGAGCTCCTCGAATTCAGTTCACCAATTCCTCAAAAGCTTGTATGCGGATCACCCGTACTGTCATTTGATAGTAATTTCGTTCAGACTATAATTATTTTGTGGGGGAGCCCTCGACCAACACATGTTGGTTTAACCACAGAATTTATATGAGGATTATTAAGAAGAACCAAATTTTCTAAACTATTATTCTAAACTATTAAATAAAATAACTTAATAATATTAAAGTTGTGAACATCAATGAATTCCAGTTACACTATGGAAATTAATATAAAAAAAAAAATTAATTTCTTTAAGATGGAAATATTAAAAGTAGAAAACTTGTTTGGCTGCTTCATTGAAATAAGTCAACATTTAATTAATTAGTTTTATCGAATCATCCATAGGCTAGCTTAGGATAATCCAGCCTGCCGATCGTACAAGCTAAGCTCACCAGGAGTCTTTACTGTTCCTTGGAGCTGATCATTTCATAATATATCTGTAATTTATTAAAGATAATAACCAAGTTTGTAGACTGATTTTTTTGTCATTCCATTTAAGATATAGCAGTATATCCCAAGTGCCATTAATTTGTATGTGCAAAAGTCGTTTTGAAAAAAGTCTAAAAAAATTCAGATGGGTTTATTAATCATAAAGATATTTGGTTTTAGGCTTGGGCGTAAGATATATGAACTAGAGTTACTGTCAATTCTCTAGTTAACTTAGAGCTACTTTGATTTTCCGTGAGTTGGCAAGAAAAGTCTTAAGTTAAGCGTGAATCGATTTACATCAATTTATTTTACGCTTTCCGATATTTTTTGTAAAAACGGAGGATACTTTTATATATTTCTAACTTTTTATTGCCAGTTGTATTCCTCGGTTTCTTCTTTCAAATATCTCTGAAAATTTATTTTCCCACTACCTAATACCTACCTTCCTAAAAAACTTTTCGAAAGTAATATAAGCAGTGTTACACGATCATTTTCTTTTCTGAGTAATGTTTACGGGTACAACAAACGGGCTTCAAGACCCACGTACGTGTGCAATTCCGCGGGAGACGAGACATTCCATTGTCGAGTCCCATTGTGCCCCTCGGCAATCCCACGACATCGAGTTCGATCGTAACGTACGTTCAGTCAAATAGCTAAGAAGAGAGGCAGTTTCGCATCATAAATCATTAGAGGTAAGCGCGCCCCTCCCCCCGATCCTCACTAACCGCCCTCCGCTGTCCTTCCAGCCGCCGCAGCCGCAGGAGCATGCCGGGAGGCGAACGGGACCGCTCCGGTGGCGGGCTCCTGCGACGCCTACATCGAGTGCCGGAACGGAGTGGCCGAGGAGAAGCTCTGCCCCGACGGGCTGCTCTACAACGAGAAGTCGACCGGCTACCCCTGCGGCTACCCCATCGACGTGGAGTGCTCCCAGGCGCAGAGCCGCCTGCAGGCCGCCCAGCCCACGGAGGATTGCCCCCACCAGTTCGGCTACTACCGCATGGGCGACGCCAGCCACTGCGGACAGTTCATGAACTGCGCCGCCGGACGCGGCTTCGTGTTCGACTGCCCGGTGGGCTTGGCCTGGAACCCGGCCACCTACAAGTGCGACTGGCCCGACCAGGTGGAGGACTGCGACGCGGAGGCGTTCCTGGGCTTCCGCTGCCCCGCCCCCGCCCCCAAGTCGGAATTGCTGGGGGATCAGGAGGAGGACTACACCTTCCACCCCTCGCAGGACGACTGCCAGGTGTACTTCATCTGCATCGAGGGACGCCCGCGACGCATCGGCTGCGGTGAGGACCAGGCATTCAACCAGGAGCTGAAGCAGTGCGACGACATCGAGAACGTGCCCAATTGCAGCAGCGCCGTCCGCGAAAAGGGCGCCCAGATCAAGGCGGCCCGTCAGCACGCCAAGAAGAACTGAGGAGGAGTTCCCCCACTGGAACAGGCCATCTAGCAGCAAGTTGCTCGAGTTTTCTAGTCTGTAGTTAAAGACCGATTGTTGACACTTCGTACCATGAAAATAAAATGCAAAAACCAAGAAAGGCCTTTTCGATTTCCAAACCCTTTTCCGCCCATCGAAAACCAGAACTCAACGTAGTGCCTTCTCCATTGCAGTGCTCGGATCGCCGGAGTGCCCCTCACCCAACGGACGCTTCGCATCGGGGGATCAGTGCGACGCCTACACGGAGTGCCAGGACGGGGTTCCCGTCGAGAAGCTCTGTCCGGATGGCCTGCTCTTCCACCAGCGCACCAAAGCCACTGGCGAGTGCACCTACGCCCCCTACTCCACCTGCAAGGAGCGCGCCCGCCTGCAGCCCGCCAACGGAACGGAGGAGTGCCCGCGCCAGTTCGGCTTCTACCCGAACGGAGACGCCACCAAATGCGGCGTGTACCGCAACTGCGCCCACGGAGTGGCCAGCCTAACGCGCTGCCCCGAGGGGCTGGCCTTCAACGAGGCCACCTACCAGTGCGACTGGCCGGACCTCGTGGAGGACTGCAACGCGGAGGCGTACCTGGGCTTCGAGTGCCCCGCCGCCGACGCCGCCGAGGGGAACGCCCCCGCGGTGGACGTCACCCCGGAGGGGGAGCTGCGCTACTACCGCCACCCGCAGACCTGCAAGAAGTACTTCGTATGCGTGAACGGCCACCCGCGGCTCTACAACTGCGGCAAGTACCTGGCCTTCAACTCGGAGTCCAAGCTCTGCGACTTTTACAACAAGGTGCCCGAGTGCTACGCTCTGCTCAAGGAGAAGCAGCGCCTGAAGGCGGAGAAGCAGACTCCCCAGGTGGCCTAACCTGGCCGGAGGATCCGGGGATCCGGGGAAACCAGGGGATCTGGGAGGTGCCGGAGGAGGCTAAGAGGCTGCTGTCCACACTCTTCTCGTGCAATGATTATTGTGTTGTAAATATATATCTGCTTGTCGTTTATACATTCAATAAATAGGTAATATCTATAAATGCTATTAAAACTCTATTAAACAGCTACCTTTTATTTTGGAAGGCAATTAAGGTATTCCGAGAGCTGTGTAATCCAGTCATTATTAGACTAAGTTCCTAACTCTTTGCCGAGATATGTGCGTGAATAGATGCCGAATTTACTTTTTCCTTTTGCCGATCGTTGCTAAGGCAGCTTAATAACGAATGTCGTCACACCTTTGAATAAAATTAAATTCGTATGTCTAATATCGTAATAAAATTCTATAGCACAAGTTATATATGAACGTGTATTTAAATTTATTTATTGTGTATAACCGGTAAGCCTACGACGCCTGGCCGCCACGATTAAGAATATACTCACGTTGCAGAGTCAGAAGTATCTAACACACAGCTTGACAAACTTCTGACTGAAAATATAACACCTTTATATGCCTTTATTAATAGAACAAATTAGCTCGTTTTTTGTTGTTTGTAATTTATTATCAGTTTCAGATTTTCTGGTGAATTTAGTGTTAGTTAATAATAATTTTTAGCTTATTAGTAATTGGTAGATAATTAAACTTATATGTATGTTACATAGGTATGATGGCAAACCACGTTCAAATTTAAACATTTTTTCAGTGAACTAAATATCGTGTTCTCTTTTTTCCAGTTCAAAATTTTTTACATTATTTCAACTTTTGGTGAAATATAATTTTCAAAAAATAATGCCAATCTGAAGTTAGGGGTCTGTTTTTGGAAATAATTTAAGCTCGAATTTTATTGTTGATTAAAAACATTTATTTTATATTTATCACTAAGTAATCAGTAAGTTTTGTTTAGAATTTTTAGGGTTGCTTAAAACTAAATTCTTCAATCATCTTCGTTAATCCGATCGCTTCCGTCTTTCACTGATTCCTTTCTCCTTTGGCTATAAAAATTAAATTACATTAGGTTTTGTTTTTGAACTTTTGCACTATTCTGTTGTAAATGTTTTGCTGTTGTGTATCAGTTTTTATTACATTAAATTACAACAAATAATTCGTAGTTAGGTTTAGTATTTTATTTGGTTATACAAATTTTTGTTTCATTTCGATTCATATCTTTTTGCTTTGTGGTGCTTGGCTAAGGCGACTTTTGTTTGGTTGTTTTCACTTTGTTTTTGTTGTCTTTACATTTTGCAATATATTTAACTTTTGTATCCGTTTCCATCTTCGTTTTATTTACTTACACAGAAATGAACAACTTGCACTGAATGAAATCAAAAAAACTCAAAGTATCGACGAAAAACAAATTCTGAAAGTAAAAAAATAAATTTTTTATTCGTTTTAAAATTTGTGCTAGAAATTCGGCTATTAAAATTATTTAAGTCCATACACACACTTGAGAAAAAATACTTATCTTTTCGCTTCATTGTTTTGGTTTCATTCTGGTTTTCATTTTAACATATTCAGTCTTTCAGCTTCTAACATAAATAAATTAATTAAATTAATTTATTCAATTACATTTAAAAACATCTTGTTGTTTGCTGCCTGTAAATAATTTTGAGTTCTATTGCATTTATGTGGTAATTTTCGGTTGTCTGCCTATCGTTGCTTGTTTTTTAAATCTATAGCCAAAAAGTTTTTCATGGAAATTTTGAAAAAATTTTCATCCTTAGTCAAAGTTTGTTGTAAAAGCCAAAAGTTTGCTTTGTTGCTTGCTGCCTTAATTAACTTAATTCTATTTTTCTTTGTTATCATGTACATTTAAATGTATTAATTGCACTGTGTACAAAATTGTTTCTTTGTTTTTACATAATTTAATAAATTTACCTTTTACAAATTCCGATGATCCAATTTTTCGTCAGAAAATGATCACGAGAAGACTTATAGCGGCTTACAATTGAAGAAATTATATATTTTATTAATTTGGGCAATATAGTGTAAGCAAAAATATTAATGGTTTTACAAGTTAATTGTTAAAACTCGATTTCATTAAATCTTCTCGTGATGGGCTATTTATCTTATTAGACTTAAACTTAAAACACCAAAATCAATAAAAGGTAAATGCTATGAATCTGTTATTTTTTTGTGTACACAGTGTAATATTTTTTATATAGTTCTCCAACTACTCCTCGCTTTTTTAATAGGAGTTTCTCATAAACGTTTTATGTTTATGATTTCTCTATGCGTTTAAAATCTTTTCAAGTGGACGTAGCATATCTTTTCTTTTGGGTTGTCCAAATGAGTTGCTTAATTTTAATTTTACGGATATATAAGAAATATATAAAATTTTGTGTCTAAATTCAGTTGTTTTTAGGAGTTTCTTCTTTCAAAACAAAATAACAATTCTTTTGCGTATTGTTTATAAGTTTATCAAATATGTTCGTTCAATTTTAAATTTTTTTGTTTTTATTTGCATTTTGGGTGGGGCTTACGTTATCATAGTTTTATAGTCTTTCCTTCGATCATTGCTTTATGTACGTCAACTAAAAAGATTACGTCAAAATGTTTTTTTTTCGTTCAGTTCTTACTGTATAATCCGGTCTCTTGTTAAGGCATCTGCATTTTGTCACTGAAGTTCTGTTTTTCATTTGTTTCTAGTTTGGTTTTGCATTTTTACACTTTAATTTGGATGCTTTGGAATTTGGTTTGGTTTTCGATTCGAAACAATATTTGAAAAATTTAAGATTCCAAAAGTTAACACTTGCCCAAAGTTTTATAATTTTTTTTGTGACTCCTAAAAACAACGAAATGTGGCTGTATTTTTATCAATAATTTTGCTGTGCCTTAAGATACAAATTTTAATTCGAAAATTGACTTTAATTTTGAATACAGTAATAGACAAAGTTTCCCTTTACTGTTTTTTTTTTGTTTACTTTGTTAGTATGTAATTTTTTGTAGGTCTCTTAATCAACTTAACCTGACAATTTTGTGGTTTAAACTTGTATGCAGGTTACATAAACAAAAATGTCGTATTTTTTGTTTTATTTTGAATATGAATTATTACACGCAGAAAAGCGTAATAAATAATCATTCTTAATGGGTAACCTGAAAATAAATTACTTTGCAATGTTCCAACTTGAAACTTAAGTAAAAACAAATATAAACAAGTTTGTATTTTTTATTAAAAAGTATAAGGTGATCTTTAATAAAACATTCGTAAAATTTAAATTATAAAACTTAACATTACACAATTAAAATAACCAATATCGAAGTACCAAAATATATAAAAAAAACTTTAATTCAATCAGATAAAAAGTAATGGAAAACTCAATTGAAATTGTAAACTCTTCTAAACTTTTATCATTGTATATAAACTACTGGATGCAGTTAATGGAACTTCCGTTTTTTCCCGCCACGTTTCTTTCCCTTGCCCTTTTTGGCCAGTTTTCGCTTTTTGCTTCCATCGCCGCGCAGTGCAGATTCCCTACTAATCTCGCCAAGGATTTCATCACCAAGTGTGCCTGCAGATTGCATAGAGATGTCAGTTGATTAGTTGATGTGTACATATCAGCAATGGCAATGGAGGAGCTTACCCAGGGTGGTCAGTTTGCGCTGGCGATGCTTTTCCGCCTTGGTCACCGGCAGCCGCATCAAGTAGGTCTCCTCGTATTCCTGTTTCTCCTTCTGAGCGTGGGACAACATCTGCTGGGCCCGCGAGCCAGAGGAAATCTCGGTAGGAGCGTCCAGATACTCCTCCTTGAGGTCCTGCAGCATGGAAGACCTAAAAGAGAGTTGCACATCGTTTGTTTATAGTTGAAAACTATTAAACGGGTCAAGAGCTCACGTGATGGCCCGCTTTTTGGCTCGGTCCATGGCCTTTTTCTCCTTGTCGGCGTCGCGTTCGTCGCCGTCGTAGTAAACGGGTTTGATGCGAGGTGGCACGTACACCCCGGTCTTGCCAGCGGTGGCCGCCCTTCGCGGTACTTTCGCTGCTCCGGCGCCATCCTCCTCGTCGTCCTCATCCTCGTCCTCGTCCTCCTCGCTGTCGTCCCCGGCATCGTCTTCGTCGCGGCCTGCTCCGGCTGCACTGCTCATCATGTCATCCGGGTTGGGCTTATAGAGGATGGGGTCTGTGCTGCTCGACACGCCCGTGGTGGCCGTCTTCACTAGCTTGTCGATCTGGTAGCGCAGCTTGTGGTCTATGGGCCGGATCTTCTCGAGCACGGTGCGAATCTCGATCAGGCGCTCGATGGAGGGGTCGCCCTCGATGGTTTCGCCGGAGCACTTGCGCAGCACCACGTAGGTCAGGTTGATCAAGTAGTCGAGCAGCATGTGGTACTTCACCTCCAGGAAGCTCAGCCCGTACTCCGTTGTCAGCTCGCCGCGCTTCACCCGCTGCAGCATGCCCTCCACCAAGTCGGTCACCTGCTTGACGTTGCTGTTCATCTCCCCGAGCAGCTGGATGGCCTGCGGGATGTCCTGGCCCTGCACTTCGCAGTCGTAGTCGAGAGCCTTTAAGAGGGCGGTAAAGAGAACAATTCGTAGATTAGCTTGATGTACAAAGTGTAAAGTATTTTTTCTGAATAGTTATAGTACGGAATAGTACCATAATGAACAAGCTTCCTTTTTATTTTGTGTGTCTATTGGACGGTTTCCCTTAGTTATTTATGGTCATGTAAGTAGGCCCATACAATTCTGTTTCTCCTCATGCAAAATGCACTTGCGCAGGAACAGGAATAAGCCCCCCGTTTGCACTTCCGCGCTCCCCAGTTATGTGTCGCGTAATTCATTTGCATATTTTATTAGTTGCCATTTTATTATATGCATTTTACGGAGTTTTTGGCCGCACACTCACCCCCTTTTCCACCCCTCGCCTCGTGGCCGACCCGGCTTATGTTGCATTTATTTTCAATTAATATTAATAAAGCAGTCGGCTGGCAAGCGCCGAATTTGGAGGTGGAGTGGGGTTGGCAATTCGGTAAAGCGGGATTTGTCTGTTTTAGAGATTAATTGCAAAATAGTATGAGGCGCTATTTTTTCCTTTATTTGTTTTTGGTATCTGTGGCGCGCGAATTTCGCCTGCAGTTTACAAAGCCATTTACCAAATAATTATTTTGCCAGCCGAATTGCTGGTCAGCTTCAGAACACCCCGCAGGCTTTATGTCACATTTTGAACATTTCTCATTTGCATATTGTTATTGCGGAATTAATTTAATTGCATTTTGTGGTCATGCACACATCAAAAATATTATTGTGATTCCAGTCGTAAATAACACTTTTGAAATTAAGTTTACCAAAATATAACGAATTTAAAAAGGCAAACCCAAGTCAATAATGAGACAAGAATATAAAGCTAATATAGTTAACATTTATATCTTTTATTATTTGACTTTATAGTCATTATACCCTTGCAGAGCAAAAGAGTATTATAATTTCAGTCAGAAGTTTGCAATGCAGTGAAGAAAACACCTCAGACCCCATAAAGTATACATATTCTTGATCAGCATCACGAACAGAATAAAAATCAGTCTGTCCGTCTGTCCGTTTCTCTTCAAACTAGTAACTACTGTCGAATTTCGAATTAAACTTTATCAAAATCGGATAACTCCATCCTATAGATGCGATAAAAAAAATTGAAAAATCGAAAAGCAAAAAATCGAAAAAAGCATGATTTTTGGAATATAGAGTTTTCTAACGACTCATGAATTAAGAATTAAATTTCATCAAAATCGGATGACTATATCATATAGCTGTCATATGAACAATAGTCAAACATATGGAAAATTAATAGAAAAATCGTTATAGGTTGGATGTTGTTTAGCCTTTATGTATTTTGATGACTGTATATGGTATATGTATTTTACTATTATTGACGGATCCTTAATCAATTAAGAAACAAAAAAGAAAAAAAAATGAATTTCAATTATCTGTAGCCTACTTCCTAATGTAAAATTTACTGTCAAGTTTCGAAAAGATACATTAGTGGTATACGATAACAAGGTGACGTTTTAAGGACCAAGGTTTTAGTGGAAACGCTTTAACATATTCTTTAAGATCAGTTCAACCATCTGACCCAATATTGCAATATAATCTGAAAAGGACTAAGGGTACTAAACCCTATAAGTTCCATTCTAGGTAGGTGGTTGAAAGAAAGAAATTATCACGAAATTCAAATGCGGGAATTATAATTTTATTAGAGTTTTTAATGACAATCGCTATCGGAGTGCAGTCTAGCCAGGAAAAAAAGGATTGCGCCTGTGACACAAAGGCTTTACTAACAAATGCAATGGTTATATCTATGCTCTCCCTCATCCCAACTGCCGAGCTGCCAGACAAACAAAGCGTTAAATAAAACGAGGCATATTTTAGCGGCGAAAAGAGCCAATTGCAGAAACGAGGTGGCCCAACTCCCCAACCAACCCAACTCCAGATGGGCCAAATGAGATGCGATGGGCATAACGAGGCCTCCATTATAAACTGGCACCCAGAAACAGCGGCAATAACAACAGCAACAGCGTGTTCGGTGGACCGGCCAAAAGCGAATACGACTAAATGCCAACTACGGTCATTTCGGCCATATTGCCACCTTCGTTGTCCCTTCCATCCTCGCCGAAATGATTAAAAATTCGACCAGCTCTTGTGTCATTTTCAAATGCACCAGTAAAAACAATGCAATTTTCGATATTGTTGTAGTTTCAGCAATGCTGTCGATGTTAAGCATTAAGCGTTATTACGCAGCGGATTGCATGTACATGGCCACCAAAAAGGGGTCTGTTCGCGTGGAAAAAGGCAACACATAATTCGCCCATAAGTGGGCAATGTCAATGCAATTGAATCCATCCAAGGGTCGGAAAAGCGGCTGGGCTTTTAGCTACGAACATACTGCCACACAGCCGTACATTAGTGCTTACGTAGGGGAATGTGCGATCCGCCGGATTTTATCCAATGCCTATATACAGAACTGCGCGAATAAACAAACAATTTCCCTGGCAGTTTTTTCCGCCGCATGAATAAAATATAAACTGCAATTCCTGTTTGTTTTCTGCCCAGGTTACACCAACCCCGCCCTCCCTTTTTGACGATCCTGATTTGTATTTATCCCCTTCAGCAGAAATTCGCTGATTTTAATAACATTTGATGGCGTCTGCCCCCACCCACAACCTTCAAAAACACATTTCCCCAGTCCTAAGTAGTAATGCTGATTTTAACCTCCCCTTAATTTTTTGCGAATATTTTGTGCACTCAATTTGTATGCATAACGCAACATTTTTTCTATTGATTTTAATTTAATTATTTTTGAGGTTTTTGATCAATTTTTGTCTCTTTTAATGTTTTTTTAACCATCAGGCGATGGTGATGCAATCCAAAGGAATTCGGCGAAGAATAAAACCTTAAGAAGAAAAGTGAATTAACATAGCAACATAGTACTTATCAAAAGAATAGATATTTCGCACTTAAAATTAGTTTGAGTGTGTTGAGTAGTCATCTGATAAAGAGCTCACTACTTGGCTCTAAGTCGCACTGAACCAACCAGAAATTCTCCGTCGAAACCGAATATCAAAGTATGAGCCATTTTTGTAATACGTGTCGCTGATCTTGATGCCATTGTAGTGGTCGGTGTCGTCAATAAGGGATGCCAATACCCGAAGGAGTGATTAGTTCCATGTGCAAAGGAAGTTGATCTCATAAAAATTTGGCCAGTTCCCTTGATATTACCAGAAACCATGATAAAATCAGTTCTTGGACTACAACAGTTTAATAAAGTAAATAGAACCAAAGGGTCTTTTATGAAACTAATTGTTGACATAGCTTAAACTATTTAAAGTAGCATATTAGCAAAGTACGCATTAAGAAATATTTATAAAAACTGTGTTGGTAATTATAATATAATTATAATGGAAATTTGTCTTATAATTTCAAAATCATTTTGTATCCTAACCATAATGCAATTAACGCTGCATAATATTTTATTTCTGCGCTAAATGAAGAGGGATGCTGATTTGGGGTTTGATTGCTTCGTGACAAACAGGAAATGAAACTTTTGCGGTCGAGCCTATGCAAATGCGAGGCTTGCAGCACTCTTTTACATACGGGGATTTGGAGAGGGTCCTCGTGTTCCAGCCCCAAAAAATAATTGCATATTTTATACTGCATTGCACACAACAGACATCGTCATTTTCCACATCGATTGCCGTTGGTAATTATTAATTTCGGATTTATTTATTTTCCCTGCACCCGCAAAGTTTTAAGCGATTCAAAATGTATCTATTTATTTTAATAATGGGGGAAACCCAACTGACAATATAATAATATCAACTAAGCTACAAAATTGCACCAATATGTTGGTGGATGTGTTCAAATGTTGAATAAATAAATCGATGCAGTTGCTTTTGTTTGAAGTTAACACAATTATATTTGTACAGCGCTATCGAAGCTCTATCGACTGGTGTTTGGGATTTTAAAAACGTTTATGATTTTTCAGCATATAATAATAGGACTATGTACATTGAAAGGTTAGAAGCATCAACGGTCTCGTCAATTTAACCAGATAACTTACTTTTGAAGTTACTCAGTGAACTGAACATGTTTTTCTTAGGATCGGTATAAAAACTCCAACTGGTTTTAATGCATCCCTCTAACTGTAATTATATTGTAAGTAACCAACTATACCAACTATAGGAAAAAATCTTTGTTAGGTGGGGTATGTAAAAATTATCTTTGTTTCGTTTCCCTTTTTAGTTTTTACCTACGCTTAAAGAAATGAATAGCACTGAAATAATCTTTTCCATTTGAGAGCAAGCATTATTTTTTATCCGCCAATATCCATGTTCCAATTCCACCCCACCGCTTTTGTTATTATTTAAAAAACACAAATACTCCAAGCACATACACCAACAGAGTGAACAAAAAAAAAGGGGGAGACAAAAAAGGGAGCGACATTGCTATGAAATATTGCCAATCAGAAATGAAACCGAAAATAAATCGATTGTTTCAACAAACGCACATATCGCACGAGGACTTGGCCAACAACAAAAACAACTGCGAATCGGACTGGCCATGGCCAAAAAGCAAGGCAACAACCATATGCCGATGGCGCGGACCGAAAGAGTCGGCAACAACCCGTTTCCTGTCCCACTCCCTGCAACCCTGCGTTGCGCGAAAAAGCGGGTGGTGCGGTGGTTGGGTGGTTGGGTGATTGGGTGGTGGGGTTCTAGGGTGGTGCCAGTGTAGTGGGTCGCCTGAGTGATTGCCGCGTCTGCGGGGTGCAAATTGAAACAGAGCTGGGCCCCGATCCCTGAAACTCCCGCCCGAGGACTGTCCAGCTGGACCCATTCCACTACCCAAAAACCCAACACCCAACCTCGCAACCCTCCAGCTGCCAACTCCACACTCCCGGCAAGTTATGCCATCCATGTGTCGTTTGTTCGCTGGTCGTTTGGGCCTGGTTCGTGTCGCTCCGCTGCTCCTGGCCAAAACCTCGCGGGGCAAACGAGCGCGTCGAGAGATTGGGT